CCCCCCCCCCGGTCCCGTCCCCGTCCCCCGTCCCGGGGGTGGGGAGGAGGCGGACTCTCCGCGGATCGCGCACTCGCAGCGAGGCGATCGCCAGCGCCTAGGGGTCCCAGCTGAGCGGCAGACGGAGGAGGGGCGTCGCAGAGGAAGGTCCCCGGATGTCGGGGCCTGGTTCCCCAAATCACCTGTAGAACTTTCCCAGCCGCCTCCGCAGCACCCTCTAGCGGCGTCCGGAGTCAGGACATAGAGGCTCCCAGCAGGTCCCCGAAAGGCCTCTGGAGCTCCCCCATTCCTAGTTGGCCAGCTAGGCCAGGAGCCTTCTCAGTCTGCAGCTAGGATGTGATGGTCCCCTGGTCTATCTGCACAGTTGGTGAAAGGGGGAAGAGCCTTGCAAAGTGCTCGTAGATGACCCCTCTCCGTCTGGGTCAGAATTTGGGGAGTGCTGAGGGAGCAGAAAGATCTGCCTGAACTTCATTATTTCTGTGGTCTGCTTTTTCAGCTACTCTAGGAGATGTCTCCAAAGGCTTCCTGAACGCAAACGACCCAACTGAAGTGAACAGCTACTGGGCTCTGAACTTGACCTCCATGCTCTGCCTCACTGCTGGCATCCTGAAGGCCTTTCCGGACAGCCCTGGCTTCAAAAGGACTGTGATTAATATATCATCCATCTGTGCCCTGAAGCCCTTTAAGGGCTGGGCGTTGTATTGTTCTGGAAAGGCTGCTCGTAACATGATGTGCCAGGTCCTGGCCTCTGAGGAACCTAGTGTGAGGGTGCTGAGCTATGCCCCAGGTAGGTGGGAGGTACTGCCATCCTTGTCCTCTAGACCTGATTGGTCCTCTGGGTTGGTTGGCCAAAGGGCCTAGTCTGTGTCCTTAGGAAAGGACCCACAGAACATATTTTCTCTGAATATTCCTCACTCCTTAGAGAGATAAAGACTCCATGGAAGTTAGAGCTGACAGGAGATGTAGAGAAAGAGTAAGGAGTTGATTGGACTAGAAAGTGGAGTAGAAAGTCTGACATATTAGGAATTTAAGAGAAGAGCAAGATTCGAATTCTGGATCTTTCCTGGTTGTGAATGAGTAAGGTGGTACCTGTCTCACAGGTCATACATATGAAAATGGCACTGAAGAACCTTCTAATGGCAACACTAATAATTACTATATGGAACTTATCACACTGTATATAATTGTCTGCTACCCTCTTGTGACAGGAAAACTGTAAAAGATGGGGTTTTGTGGACTGGAGATGTGGATCAAATAGTAGAATGCCAGCCATGGGCAAAAAAACAAAAACAAGTGAGAGCATGAAGCCCTAAGTTTAGCCCCCAGTATCTTAAAAGAAAAAAGAAAACAAGCCAGGTACCCATGGCTCACACCTGTAATCCTAGATCTGTGAATCTTAGTTCAAAGCCAGCCCAGGCAGGAAAGTTCATGAGACTTTTTATCTCCAATTAATCACCAAAAAAGCCAGAAGTGGGGCTGTAGCCCAAGTGGTAGAGCACTAGCCCTGGCCAAAAACAAAAAACAAAAAAAGCCCCTGAGTTTAAGACAAATGGGAGAAAAAGAAAAAAATCGAACAAATTCAAGGGAAGACTAGGGTATTAGAGGTAGCTGAGCTGGACATTGACCTTTCAATGTCACTTAGATATTAGCAAGTGGGAAGGAGATACAGGTAAAGGTAGGAAAACTTCTTAGACCAGACTTCAGTTGCCTTTGGCTAGACCTGACTCAGCCCTGCCCTCCACAAGCAGTGAGGAAGCCATGACCTGCCATTTTTATGATGCTGCTTTTCATTATCTAGGTCCCCTAGACACAGACATGCAGCAGTTGGCCCGGGAGACCTCTGTGGACCCCCATTTGCGAAAAAGTCTGCAGGAGCTGAAGTCAAAGGGGGAGCTGGTGGATTGCAAGACATCAGCCCAGAAACTGCTGAGCTTGCTCCAATCAGACACATTCCAGTCTGGAGCTCATGTGGACTTCTATGACAAATAAACTCATATCTTGTCTCCTGGCCTTCCTCTCCTGCTTTCAGGCATTCCCCCCCCCCCCCCAACAGGTGGCCTGTGACTGCCCATATCCTGCCACAGTGGCCATCCCCATCCTGCTTGCATAGATAAGAATTCCTGCATACTGACCTATCTCAGACACTGCCAGCTGGAAGTGGCTGGCATTACCATTTAGAAGTCTGTTGTGCAGCCTGGTAATGAAGCTTCTGAACAGAGTTGAAAGGGAGGTTATAAGCATTGGAGCTCTCTTTCCCCAGGAACAGAATTTTAGGGATTGGAACAGCAGGAAAAGAAGTGAGTACAGAAGAGAGGTGTTTGGGTGTCTTGCCTGTAGAGAGGTGGGGTGACCTAGTGTGCAACTGGAGGGCTGTGTATGGGGGGAAGGAAGAACTGCAAGTTGCTTCCCTCTTGGATGCCTGTGTTTAGGGTAGAAGGGCCTTCTGTTGAACTTTTTATTCTTCTGACGCCTTCATCTTCCAGAACCCACTTTCCTTCCTTCTGCTCCTGAAAGAAAATGGCAAAAGCAGATACAAACAGAACATGGGCTATCCTTCATTAATGCCTGCTTCCTCTACTTCCTGAGATCCCAGGACTAACTTGAGCTTTACTAAGCAATTAACCCAATGTTAATTAACTTGAGGTTACTGAAGCAATTAACCCAAACTTTAATACTGCCCTTATTTCCTGGATAGCTGCTCTCACTGAGGCCTACTTAGTGGCAAGCACAAATCCAAACCAAGTAGTCCAGAGTGGATATGTCAAGGCATCTGTTCTTTGTGCTTTTGCCCACAATGACTGACCCAATTTTACTACCCTTTTCTCTCTCAGACTATTCAGAGAACATCTATTCTTTGAGCCCAGCATACTGCCTGCCTCTCCACAACCCTTCCAAGGTGCCCTTTACCTGCTGCTCCTTTGGATTCCTCATTCTACTGCACACATGGCAGTGCTCGAAACAAATCCCATGTCCTGTGATGAGCCCTGTTGGCATTGTTTGTTTGTTTTTGGGTCCAGTCGTGGGGCCTGAACTCTGGGCCTGGGTGCTTTCCCTCAGCTCTTCAGCTCAAGGCTAGCGCTCTACCACTGAGCCACCTTCCAACCCATGTTGGCATTGTTCATGAAGCCCATGGTCCTGGTCCTCAGTGGGGTAGGCTTGGAACTAGCATGCAGTCTGAGAAGATGGATAAGATTCCAAGATGGAAGCCCTGAGAAATCCAATCCTGCTGGTTGATAGACCTCGGCTGGACTGGGCGTTCTGCAGTGGCGGTGGCATGCTATTGGCCCATGGCTCATGTCCCATATTTGGGAGGAGGGAACATAGTTCCCTGCCAGCTAAGGTCAGGATTCTTGCACTTCAATGTGTAGGATGCAGTCTGTTTGGTCCTCCTTGTTCCCAGCAGAGGGCGCACTAAGGCTGTAACTCCTGGGGGAAGCGGTAGCACCTCCTGGAGAAGTGGCAGACACCCTTGCTAGAGGGCAGATCCTAGGCAGGAATTCAGCACGTACAGGATTCCCAAAGTGGGAACAAGCAATTTTTGACTTAACCTGGCCCAGCAAATACCTCATCCTCATTAGAATTAAAATGGCTGGGCTCAGATCCCTGCTCTGAAATTAGTTTTTGTCCCTGAAAAATGGATTGTAGGGCTGAGTGAGGGTGTAACTTCAGTGATAGAGCACCCACTGGCAAATGCAGGCCCGGAGTTCACTTTTTTTTTTCGGGGGGGGG